AAAAAAAAAAAAAAAAAAAAAAAACAAGAAAAGGTGAAAGCTGTCGAGTAAATGAACCTTTGCGTCTATTTGGAGAGGAAAAAATTGATAGGATCGTGGAGGGAAATGGCAGCTTCTTCGTCTTCCTTTTTCGCCGCAGCTTCTCAGAAGGTCGGTCCAGCCGCTCGCCGCCAAATTCTTACTCTGACGGAGGCCGCCGCCGCTCGAATTCGACAACTTCTTCAACAGCGCCAACGTCCATTCCTCCGCCTTGGCGTCAAGGCGCGCGGTTGTAATGGTTTATCCTATACTCTCAACTACGCAGGTTCGTAATACCTAATATATTTGAACTTTTTCTTGATTGTTTTCGATTTCACTTTACTCGTTTTATATCTGAATTTTAGGATGTGATGAAAATTTTCGATTATGTATCCTCTTTTCTATGAATCAGATGTTGCTGTTTGAATTTGATTCGAGATAATTAGGTATTTCGTTTATTTGAGCGACATAACCTAACAGTTTCGGAACTGGAGTCCTTTAGAAGAAAAATTCTCTATCCTTTAACGGTTTCCAGCTCCAGTCACCAAGAATTATGATTTTAAAACCGAGGATTTATTATGATTATTAGATGCAGAAAACTAGAAGGTTTATTATGATTATTAGATGCAGAAAACTAGAAGGTTAAATGATTCTGTAATTGTTTAACCGGAATTGGGCCTGGGTATGGTTGGTGAGTTGTTCGAAGATGAGCGTTGAGTTCTTGCTATCCTTAACAAACGGAAAATCTGAAAGATAAAACTGACATGACTGAATGCATCAGTTGATAGACTAAAAATGATTTTTCATGCAGGGTCCTAAGTATGAGAGGAGAATTAATTTAACTTCTACTTCAGTCTGTAAATCATTCGGGATCTTATAGAATAGTTATGAATTAATGGTGTTACGAGACAGGAAGTTTGGATTCGTCGATTTGCTTCACAAACTTTTGACATAGGGATTAATGGACTATTGATATACTACTATCCTAGACTAAATGTAGGTTTCTCCCAAATTTATGGTGAGCATTTGTTTCCATCAAGTACCATTTACTTTGTGGTGTAGGTTGGCTATTGCGAGAACATAGCAGGAATGGACATGGATTAAA